CCCAACACACACACACTTTTCCATGTAGATATTGAAGTGCAGCCAATATTGTTCACGGATGTGGTAGTCAGAAAATTTGTTTCAATTAAAATGTGACATAAAACCAATAAGATTTTCCAGTGTGTAAAGGTTTGGGTGTCTGTCTGTTTGTTTGTTTGTTTGTTTGTTTGTTTTTCAGGACAGGGTTTCTCTGTGTAGCTTTGGAGCCTATCCTGGATCTCACTCTGTAGACCAGGCTGGCATCAAACTCATAGAGATCCACCTGGCTCTGCCTTCTGAGTGCTGGGATTAAAGGCATGTGCTAACACTGCCCAGCAATGCTTTGGATTCTTAATTTGCAAATCTGATTTTGATGCCTAGCACCCAGATGAAGGTAGATAGGAAGAACTCAAACCCAGATTTTATGCTTGTTCTGCACATAAAGACCTTGATATAAATGCACATAAGACTGTACAAACATGGTCATTCACACACACTCTATGAACACATTCATACAAAAAAGAGTCCCATACTGAGGATTTAAATAACACAATAAAGTTTTTAAAAGTTTATGCCAGAAGATGAAATTTATTCACTCATTCACAAAGCAAGAAAATTCTACTCAACAGGGCAAGGGAAGAAACTTGAGGAAAGAACAGTGTAAAGAATCTGAACTACACGAGAGAGGTGAATGCACAATTGGGAAAGAAAGATGGGTCCACCTTCATATTTGTGATTTAGATGCCATGGACAGATATGTAGCAAGTTGTATCAATCTTGAAACCTGTGAAATTACAAATTTCAAATTAGAAACATCAATGGAAATATATCAAATGCAAACAAATACAGTAAGTTTTATAGAACATATAGAAATCCATGTTTGAGAGATGTGGTGCAGAATGATGCAGTTTTTGAGCAGAAATTTGTTCATAGGGACTAGATTAAACATTTAATATTTGCACAATTGTGATGATTTTAGACATAAGAAACCTTATTTTATCAAGTGCTTGTTTGCATTTAGTACTGAAAAATATATATGGAAGTTCCATAAATTCAAATCCCCTTTAGATTGTGAGTTGTTAAGTCTAATCAGTGTAGTACATTCAACACTTAAGCAGATGTGTTCATCATATATAGTGATTCATTGCTCATGATATTTCTTCAATTGGTCTTGAAATGAAGTGATTGCAATCCCTCCGACAATTTTATTTTTTCATTTACATCTCATACATAATAAATAAAAAGAGACTGTAGAACTCTATGATCTTTAAAATGCATAGGGATATTTTCTTAATGATTTCAGGTATAGTTCTTTTTTTTATTGATGTTTAATGTTTCCTCTTTTTGTATTATTGTAAAAGTTTTCCCATAATATACTTGTTTATTTTTTCTGGATAGAATATTTAAATGTTTGTTTTGTTTATTATATTGAATTCTGACAGACAGAGATTTTTATTTTACTTTAACTCACCAAATCCATAGGTTCATTGAGGGCAGGTGTCTGTGAAGTACAAGATATACAAAGTAAAAATTTCATTCATTTACTCAATAATTTTTATTTCTGTTTTTCAAGAATGGAAATGGAAATCAAGAAATTTCATTATTTTCTCTTATTTCAGATCAATATCCTCTTTGTGAAACAAATATTTACCGTTTTTGAGGATATCTTGTATATTTTCTCTTGGGATTTCATATGCAGCAGACATTTTCACATAGATGTCCCATAATTCTTTACTGAGACTGGCTTCTTTTGCTTTATTAAATAAGGGAGTAAAGAGAGATGACTATTAGAAGTATGGCTGTTTCTGAAGTATGAATCTCTCAATATTTTTTGTCTGGACCTACATAAATATTGATTTTTAAATTTAGTTTCTTAAGTGTTCTGTGAATGTGGAGGAAATGCATATTGCTGAAAGTCCATTGAGATCCACTACCAATTATTTTCTACTCAATCAACACACACACACACACACACACACACACACACACACACACACACACACACACACTTATATTCTTTTAACCTATCAAATCTGTTATGTGATGATGAT